TCTATATATAGTCAATGTAAATCATGCTAGAGACTAGAGCAGTGAGTTCCAACTGGGGGTATTTGAACGGTTTTAGTTTAGCTATTTTTAACATGTAAAACCAAAATTATAACTTTAAAAAACAGAATATTTTTTTAGTTGTTGTCTTCATATTAATGATGAATGATAACCGGTTAAGGAGCTTCACATTGACTGCAAATTGACTACATTCCTTTTCAGTGAGAGTGGCGACATTCTAGCGACACAAGCAGCAGCAACTGTTAGCGTTAGCGTTAGCGATGCAACAAAGTTCAGCAGAACTCAACATAGAAGTGGTATGGCAATTAACCAATAAGAGTGCAGAAAGTGATCTGCTACCTGATACAGTGGCTGCATCCAAAATGTGCCTACTTCCCTACTGTATAGTGGTATATGAAATTTACATATACAGGAGATGCATTAAATGAATAATATGTCCAAAATTCACACTATTCATAAAACGGTAGGCGAAAAGTAGATGATCTAGTACTTCCGGCGAGATTCTGAAGTACATATCCAATGGATACTTTAGTATACTATGAGTCCCATGAGATTTGCAAATGGCAGTGAAGCAACACAACTGATACTGTAGGTCACATGACAATGCAACAATACTACCTTCATGCTACACATATTCATACTATAAAGAATTTACTTTTTTAATGTTCGCGTAGTAAACAATTTCGAGAGGGTATGCAATTTTGGATGTTTTTCCACAGCTTTACCCAGCTTCCAAAAATCACAAAGCCCCACCCCTAAACATAGCCCTAGTGGGTTAAAGCAAATTGGGGAAAGTGGTTGGAAAATGGCCACTGATGGGGAAACGTCCACACAGTAAGGACTGTATGTGCATAATATGCATGTGCTGATGGCAAAATTTTCATCGTGTGCTGTGCGCATTAAAAACTAAACTATATTTTGGGCTAAACTAGTAACTTGTCCTCTAATGCCATTTAACCCATGTAAGTATCCATTTTAAGACGTGCGATTTGAGACACGCAATTAACTACTGTACTGGGCCGAATATAAGACGACCCTGATTATAAGACGACCCCCCCTTTTCCCAGATGTACCTTTTGGAAAAAGGCTTTTTAAAAAAAACAAATCTGTTTTTTTCTCAGTAAAACACATTTTGTCTTCAATTATTTTCATATTGCATATTTTTCCTATTTTAATTTTTGTTTTGAAAGTATGGTAAAAACTGGTCAAATGTACCAACAATCACATTTAAAAAATATACACTTTTTGATATACCATTAAAAAAAAAAACAGGTAGCCCATCTGAATTAGGACATTTAGGCTATCCATCTAATAGTAGCCTACCAAAATCTTATTAACAGTAGAAGTTAAATCTTACTGTAGTCTTCAAATCTGGGTACTGTCTTACGTTTTAAAATCACAAAGGGAGTTTGGTCCCATCAGGCTAACGTGACCGTCACGACTCATGCAGCTGTAAGGTTTTCTTTTGATTTTACTCACGATCTTTACAACACGCATTACATTACGTATTTCATCGCACAGTCGTTTTATGTGTATTTGGAGCCACTATTGTTGTGGGTGTATTATTGACATGTCAAAGTCTAGACCCTGAATATAAGACGACCGCGTTTTTTCAGATGTATTTCCAAGAAGAAAACATCGTCTTGTATTCGGGTCAATACGGTATTCGAACTTGAATAAAAGAGAGACTGTGGAGTGTTAAGACAAATTTAAATAAAGTTGTAGAGTTGGTTGGTTTTTCAGATAATTATATAGAATTACGGCTCTTTCACACCAACACAAATGTTCAACGCGAAAATTCTGTGCAATTTTCATATTCAATTTGTCATACCAATGAATGAACAGCAGGCAGGCTGAATGAAAATGCTAGTTTACTCTCTGACAGTAGGTGGCGCTTAGAAAAAAAGCAGAAATCCCCTGGTTTTATGTAACAGCAGTGTCTGGCACGTGACTTAAAAGCACAAATCTTATTGGTTGACCAGTGAAATGGAAAAAAGATTGGAACACATTGGAAATATTGATTCGTCTTGGTGTGAACAGGCCTATACATCTAAATTATGTTTTCATTTGACTCTGAATACAGACAATGGTGGTTTTGTCATTTCAATAGATATACATAGTCTAAAGATAATTGCACCAAAACAATTGACTACAGTTGTAAACTGCGTCAAGATGTTGATTGGATGGAGCGGGGCAGGATTTAAGTGAACTTAATGATTGGGGAAATCCGACATATGTCACCAGAGAGAAGTCATTTCACTAGAAAATTGAGTAATGACATTGAATCGTTCACAATAACTAAGATCAACAAGTGTATGGCAGAGGTACAGCGAGACATGACGGGTGGATTGTCTTATCACAACACACTGCAGATCAGATGTCTCACCATTCACATTACATCTTTACAAACTTTTAAAAAAACAGTACCATCAGCTTCTTACACCAAATGCTAGCGTCATCTTTGTCCTTTCAAGTGACTGTGGATGGTTTATCACTCACTGTTGATAATTAAACCAATTAAAAGTCATTATTATAATTGCATCTAAATCAGAAGATGTGTCAAACCCACTGTAATTGCTTGGGCTTGGCAAAAGGGATTGTCACCAAGGTGAGTTGAATTTCCAAGACACCAGGCTGCAAGATCACCAGTAAAAGTGCTCTTTGGCGCTATCTAGTGACTAATATTAAAGGAATACACTGATTCTCTGAGAGCCCTGTCTTTGGTGTTCAGAAGCAATTAGTCTCAGGACATATCATTCAAATGTAATTAGACTAGGTCTGCTTCAGCTTCATATCTTTAGGTATAAATCTGACCTTTGAAATGCAGATGGAACAATCCTTTGTGCACACAGATACTTTGGTTTTCTGAAGACAGTTAGCACCTAGTGGATAATGGCCAATGAATGAAGTCATTGTTATTCTAAGATTGAGAACTACATGCAAAAGGCATGTTCCTATCCCGTGCCTTTGTAATAGGCTGAACTTCTTGTTTGGTGAGAAAGTTACACGAGTGTGCCCATGCTGAATGCTGATATGTTGAGGGTACAGATGGGCGGATCTCACTACACCTCAGCAGATCTGCGGGGATATAAACCCACACATGCGTTTAAATAGAGAGGGGCAGATATCTGCGTGGGCTGGAGGACGGACCTGCGCCGCGGGAATGTTTGACTGCAGCTCTGGAGCTGGAGGAGAATCGGCGTCGCCAGAAATGCCCAGCAGTGCGCATCCGTGCGTCTGTCACAGAAGAACCGGAGACCAAACCAGCGCGCTCTGACCAAAGACTGGATATCTCGGGTTGGATCATGGCAGTGTCATCTCTCCACGCGCTTGTCTCCAGAAGACCTCTGGATCTGATCTCTGTTTTAAACTCTTTGTGGAGTTTGTGACCTGCAAACCAGGATCTCGGAAAGTTGCCTCGCTGTTGACGTGTTTTTTTGGACCGTTTTTGTCACAATGTTGAGCTGATTGGGCATTGCGCGCGTTTGCCGAAGGTTGCGGGACTGACTCCCTCATCCCACCAATGTCCCCCTCTCTCTGGATCTTAACGAAAAGCATTTCTGCAGGCTTTGGATACTCTATTTATTCATTTTTTCTCGTTCCCCCCATGCGTCTGGAGTGAATTTAGGATGCTGTGTCTGTCTCCTCCAGTAACCTACAACCTGTTATTCTGGTTTTTAATTCTCCAAACGCCACATTTAACTGCACCTTTAATCACCGGTAAGAATCATAAATAAACACCCACAATACATTTAATCATATAAACATTTCTGCATAAAACATCAAATATTAGACATCAAATTAGCCTACTGTAATTAAAATGTATATGCGAAATCTGAGGAATATGTGTTGTTTTGTCATGGTGGTCGTGTAAATTGGTTTTGATATTTTTATCATTTCAAAACTGCACGATTTAAAATGTCAAAACGCTTTAATTGCATTGTTTTTGTTTGTTTTACATTACTCTGAATTTGGTTTTGCATAAGTGTTGCTTTAGTAGTAGCCATTCGTTTCAGATTTGAAAATGAATAATACAAGTGTAGTGAAAATATTTTAGCTGTGTAGTCATGTAGGCTAAAGAAATAATTATTTTACAGTGTCCGTTGCATTAGTCATCTAATTGTTAACCAGCAGAGTAATAAGCAAAAGCCCTGTTGAAAAAACCAGCATATGCTGGTTAGGTATGTTTTGATGCTAGTTTAAGCTGGTCCTTTGCTGGTTTATGCTGGTCTTTTGCTGGGCTAAGATGGTCCTTTGCTGGTTTATGCTGGTCTTTTGCTGGGTTAAGATGGTCCTTTGCTGGTTTATGCTGGTCTTTTGAAGGGTTAAGCTGGTCCTTTGCTGGTTTATGCTGGTCTTTTGCTGGGTTAAGATGGACCTTTGCTGGTTTATGCTGGTCCTTTGCTGGTTTAAGCTGGTCCTTTGCTGGTTTATGCTGGTCTTTTGCTGGTTTATGCTGGTATTTTGCTGGGTTAAGCTGGTCCTTTGCTGGTTTATGCTGGTCATGTGCTGGCAAAGGACCAGCATAAACCAGCATAAGGACCAGCATAAACCAGCAAAGGACCAGCATAAACCAGCATAAGGACCAGCATAAACCAGCAAAGGACCAGCATAAACCAGCAAAGGTCCATCTTAACCCAGCATCCTAGCGTCAAAACATACCTAACCAGCATATGCTGGTTTTTTCAACAGGGAGTATATAGCAAAATTAAAATAATTGCCAGTAAGTATGTAGCTCGTTAGATTAACGAGTCGATAATCACTTAAATACAGAGTAACACTGTAAAATAAAGCGTGGCTTACATCTCCGGTATAAGTTTTGTAAACTCTACTTAAACTAAACGAGCAGTTTGGACACCCCTTATTCACTCATCCATATTTGCAGGCTTTAATTGTTGTTTGTATGGTTGAATAAATCGTTTAGAGGAAATATCTCATGTAAATGCTCATTTTATTTGGTCTTTTTTCGTTTTTTCGTTCAGGTACGGAGGCTAGCTGTGAAAACGAGGGAGAAGTGTTACACATCCCCAACATCACAGACAACCCCTGCATCTCCTGCGTCTGTCTGGTGAGAAAACCCAAACCCTTAGAACTACCTGTGCGGGAATTCAGCATGAAATATGGTTCAATATTTGTAGCGCAGATTGCAGAGTCACATGTCTAATTTTAACAGTCATTTTCTGTTGTGAGGCAGCAGTGCGGAGTCGTGGCTGAGCAAACGAGATTTTTGTGAGCTTTCAGGATAACAACTTTAACACAAGTCATACAGAATAGAATGCCTATACAAGAGATACAGATATTTAATAAGTATTATATAAGAGATATGTAAGGTAGTTACATTTTAGGGAACTTCTGTCACCATAGGTAAATAATATGTGACCCTGGAGCATAGTATATTTGTAGTAATAGCCAACAATACATTGTATGGGTCAAAATGATCGATTTCTCTTTTATGCCAAAAATCATTAGGATATTAAGTAAAGATCATGTTCCATGAAGACATTTTATAAATTTCCTACCGTAAATATATCAAAACTTAATTTTTGATTAGTAATATGCATTGCTAAGAACTTCATTTGGACAACTTTAAAGGCGATTTTCTCAATATTTTGATTTTGTTTTGCGCCCTCAGATTCCAGATTTTCAAATAGTTGTATCTCGGCCAAATATTGTCCTATCCTAACAAACCATACATCAATGGAAAGCTTATTTATTCAGAATTTCTTATAAATCTCAGTTTCAAAATCTTGACCCTTATGACTGGTTTTGTGGTCCAGGGTCACATATAAGAATACTCTCTCTCTCTCTCTCTGTATATATATATATATATATATATATATATATATAGGCTACTCAGTACTGCTTAATAATTTACATATTTTTCAAAGGGGAATTTACATTATGTTATTCTGTGGTTAAATTATTATTATTATGTTACTCTGTGGTTAAATTGTCAGTGCTGACTTTGTAGTGAGAACTGTAATAGTTGCATATATCCAACATAATACATTTAGATGGTAAAGCATTAATAAATTGGAATTACTGTAATCCACATCTATCCTTGTCCTGGTCACAAAAATCAGCATGGGTCTATGTTATGTGTCTGATATACCCATTATAAAGAGAATGATATGAGAACATTATGTTAAGCACCAAGAGTCAAACAATGTGCCTTTCACAAGGTTAGTGCGTGAGAGCTGATACGATGGGTTGATGAATGTCTCGGATTGATTTTGTAGCATGCGAGTTGATGAATAGAGATCAATACAGGACGTTTTATCTCTGAAAGATGATGCTGCTCTTCATGTACATGCATTTGTCTGCAGTTGATGGGGATGTCATGAACTAAACGTGATTGAATTAAGCTGATCTATCAAGAAAGCAGATCACATCCCATACTAAATTTCACGGCTTTATCCTTGTCACATTGTCAGCAAGTAAAAATCTTATGCACCGTACTGAATGATAAGCGATTGTCCTTTAAATATGTATTTGTATCAATAGAATCAGAAAGCAGACTGTAAGCAGGAGAAGTGTTCACCGCTGGCAGAGGACTGTGCGCTGGTGGTCAAACAGACAGGAGCCTGCTGTGAAAGATGCAAAGGTCAGTTCAAACCTCTATGAGAAATAACTCAAAATAATGTTATCTGGTTATTATTAATTATGTGTGGGCTAACAAACTTCTTTGCTACTTTAGTCATAATGTATAGTTTTACTGTGTTTAACATCACTGCCACCCTATGGTTGAGAGACGCCATGATTTTACAGATGAGATCTTGATTTTGCCTTTTTATTTGAATGGGTTTCCTTAGAACATATAACATTCTTCTGATAATGAACTATAATCAATATAATAAACTTGGAATCAGTAATAAATCACTCAATCAGCAGATGATGTTCAGCCTATTTTTAATATAAAAGCTGATTTACTGAAAAAATAAAAATGTCAAAGTTGTAAATAAAACAGATTATTGTTGTACATTTTTTACAAAGAAATACTATTATACTACAGTCTTTCTACTTCAAAATATCATGTTTAGTTCAATATGTTACTTGCTGTTTCTTTGTAATTACTTTACTAGTACACTCTAAAAAATGCTGGGTTAAATACAACCCAGTGCTGGGTAAAATAGGGACAAACCCAGCAATTGGGTTGTTTTGACCCAGCGGTTGGGTTACTACCCAGAAGGTTGGGTTAAACATTTAACCCCACCGCTGGGTCAAAACAGCCCAATTGCTGGGTTTGTCCCTATTTTACCCAGCACTGGGTTGTATTTAACCCAGCATTTTTTAGAGTGTAATTTCTGTGCGAAAATTGTTTCACCATTTGTTTCAGTGTACATGTCTTGAAATCGTTTTATCGGAGCATTTCGTCTCTCTGCAGGTTGTCAGCTAAAAGGGACGTCCTACAACAGTTCCCATCACTGGATCAGCCCTGTGAAACCCTGTGTCACATACAGCTGTCAGGTGGGTCAGTCTCATCTGCATCTTGGGAATGGCTGGATGGATTTACTTGTACAGCTGTAAGACATGGACATGTAGTCTAGTAGTAGGATAAACAGAATGAAAAACAAAAACAGGACTGGACAAATGAATGAGTAATGTAGCAAGCTGACTGCTTTAATAAACTACTGGTTTAAATGAGAATGTTTGGGAAAAATAACATAGTAAATATATTGTAGATGAAATAGTACTTGAGTACCTCCTACCTCACCTCACGCACAATTTGTGCATTTTCATATTTATATTAGAAAGTTATAACAAGAAACCACCTATCAGTATAAATCTGAAAGTAAACATTGAAGGGGGTGGTAAAAGTTCATAAATGTTTTTCTTTGGACAGGAAGGTGTCATCACTGAAGCAGAAATGAGGTGTGTCATTCACTGTAAGAATCCCAAAAACCACCCAAAGAAATGCTGCCCAACTTGCCCAGGTCAGTCAATGTTATTATTATGTGTGTATGTCTGTTATTTTCTTACAGCCTACAGTGCTTTTCCCTTTAAAAATATAAGAGAGAAAGGGAAACTTTACCAATTTAAAAACAAGTCTGTTTAATCAGAATATTGTAAACAGAATTCTAGATACTGATGTGCACGACATTTCCTCAATAACTTCACTTCATTAAACTACCGGCAAAACTGTTTGTTTAGGTGTATGTGAATATCTCTGCCAATCAGCCAGATTCTCATCCTAGTGCTTATTCATATTTTGGATGTTCACAGGGTGTATTTTCGAGGGAACTTTATATAAAGAAGACGAAGAGTTTCATCCTGAAGGGAATCCCTGTATTAAATGCATCTGCACTGTGAGTTTGTCTGCTAAACCCTTACAAGTGTTACAAGTCACAACAAAAAGTTCTGGGCACTCTACTATGACCAAACAATAGCACCCCATCTCAGATAGTAAACATTTAGTATTTGAAAATTCAATATAATAATAATTATAATACTATTAGGGTACAACGAGGCTAAAGGAGCACCTTAAAGGGGTCATGACATGGATGTTTTTATTTTTTTATTTTAGCATGTTCCCTTAAGGTTTACTTATAATGTTAATTAAGTATTTTTGCACAAAAAAACGAATAAATATGAGGAAAATTTTTTATTTTCAACCCTCATTCTGACCCTCTGTCTAAAATGACTTGTTTTTTTTAAGGGGCGGGTCCTTTTAGGCTTCTGTTCGGCCGCTGGTATGATTGGCTAAACTCATTGCATAGGAAACAGTATCAACGCCCCCTCACTATTGCATGGGAGTGTTTTGACAACATGATCAAAATAAAACGGTAATTTCCAGACAAAGCATTATGAAATTCATTCATTCATTATTTATTTATAAAGCACATTTAAAAACAACCCAGGGTTGACCAAAGTGCTGAACAGATAATAGAAGTCAAATAAAGATACAAATGATAATATCTCATAATAAAAAAAAATAAAAATAATAATAAATTAGAAATCCACACTAAGCAAATGTGTTTTAAGTTTTGATTTGAAAGAGGAAAGCGATGACACCATTCGGATCGAAACCGGTAGGCTGTTCCAGAGTTTGGGGCCTACTGTCGCAAAAGCTCGGTCTCCACGATGTTTTAACCTCGATCTGCACACAGAGAGCAATCCAAGGCTGCCTGATCTAAGTGACCTAGAAAGATTGTGATAATGTAAAATGTCAGAAAGATACGCTGGTGCTAGGCCATGTAATGCTTTAAAAACAAAAACTAGAATTTTAAAATCTATTCTCAGTTTGACTGGTAGCCAATGCAGAGAAGTTAAGATGGGAGAGATAGGATACAATTTTCGACTGTCAGTCAGCAGCCTGGCTGCAGCATTTTGTACCATTTGAAGACGCCCGATGGATGATTGATTTACACCATAATAAAGTGAATTGCAATAATCAAGGCGTGAAGTAATAAATGCATGGATAACTTTTTCAAAGTTCTTTAAAGAAAGAACAGGTTTGACTTTTGCGAGACGTCGTAAATGATAAAAACAGGATTTAACAACAGAATTAATTTGTTTATCGAACTTGAGACCTGAATCAAACAACACACCTAAATTTTTCGCACATGGAGTAACATGAGAGCTTAAGTCGCCAAGGTCCAGATCACCAAAATCATAGGAATCACTTGGACCAAACAGCATAACTTCGGTTTTATTCTCATTTAAGGCTAAGAAATTCTGTGTAAGCCAAATTTTAACTTCATGTAAACAAGCTAGCAGAACCTCTATGGAACTTGAATCATTATGTTTAAGACGAAGGTATAATTGGGTGTCATCGGCAGATAGGTGGAAAGATACTCCATATTTGGAAAAGATGTAGCCCAATGGCAGCAAGTATAAGGAGAACAGTGTTGGAGCCAGAATAGATCCCTGCGGAACACCACAAGAAAGATGTGCAACTGAGAAAGTGTGTTTTCCAATACAGACAGAGAACATCCTATTAGTTAAAAAAGACTGGAACTAATTCAAAACGGTACCCTGAATGCCTAAAATATTTTCCAGTCGGAAAATCATTTACTTACAGTTTGTGATAGCTGCAGTCAGATCTAATACCGCTTCATTTTTCAACAAATGTTTCTTTGTGAACTCTTCATGACACTGTGCCTCGTTTACAAAACAAAATGCTCCGATCAATCCTCTGCCACAATCCGCGATGCCATTAAAAATAAACTATCCACTTGTTCCTGACACTGGGATCCTTCTGATATCTGTACAAAAACGCAAACAAGCTGTTTAAGCCGACGTCAACGAACGTCAAAGCGAACGTTCTTTCACCCCATCTGTCCAACTGACGACAGACTTGAGCGGACTGTGTCTGGAAGTGAACACGCATCTGTATACTGTATCCAGTGTAAACAAGATAGCGGCAGTGATTGTAATTACTATTTGCTTTTGACGCGACGCAACACTCGCATTCAGCGTGATCAAGTGTCAGCCGTTAAGCGACTGAACGCCAATGGGTGGGGCCTATGGTGAAAAGAAGACTATTCGTCGATGTCTTCCTCATCAAACGACTTCGCCCAGGTGATGCCACCTTGCACCTCGGATCCAAAAGAGACGTTTTTGGAGCTTGATTAAATAAATAATTTGTTTATAATGAGGAGGATGCTTTAAGCTATGAAACTTGCAGGATGTTTTAATTGTACAAAGACCTCTTATAAATTTGATTTCTCATGTCATGACCCCTTTAAGTAAAATGTGCTGTTCACTACTTCATACAGTGTATGATTGCAAAAAGAATATACTGTATATGCTTTGACTGAGCATTGATGAAGCAACACATTTTGTGGGAAAATAAACCATAAAATAGTTTTGTTTAAAAAATGTATAAATGTATTAGATGGTGAAAAGGGACCTTTTACCCCACACTCAGGGTTACAAGCACCCAGTCTTGAAACAACTACTTTACATTTACATTTAGTCATTTAGCAGATGCTTTTATCCAAAGCAACTTACAAATGATGGAAGCAATCAAAATCAACAAAAGAGCAATAATATACAAGTGCTATAACAAGTCTCAGTTAGCCTAACGCAGTACACGTAGCATGTTTTTTTTATTATATAATAATTAAAAAGAAAACAGATAGAAAAAGAATAGAGCAAGCTGGTATTAGAGGCCTTTTTTACTTTTGTTAATTGTATAATAAATAAAAAGAAAACAGATAGATTACAAAAAGATTAGAGAATCTAGTGTTAGTTTAGTTTTTTTTAAGAAAACAAGCAGTTAGTAAATTAATAGAGTGCAAGTCTAAAAGGGGCAAGTTTTTTTTTTGTTTAGTTTTTTTTTTATAAAGAATAGAATTAGAAGAGAGAGTGCTAGAGTTAGAGGGTCAAATAAAGATGGAAGAGATGTGTTTTTAGCCAATTTCTGAAGATGGTTAAGGACTCAGCTGCTCGGGTTGAGTTGGGCAGGTCATTCCACCAGGAGGGAACATTTAATGTAAAAGTCAGTGAAAGTGATTTTGTGCCTCTTTGGGATGGCACAATAAAGCGACGTTCACTTGCAGAACGCAAGCTTCTAGAGGCACATACGTCTGAAGTAGTGAATTTAGGTAAAGGGGTGTAGAGCCAGTGGGGGTTTTATAGGCAAACATCAATGCCTTGAATTTTATGCGAGCAGCTATTGGTAGCCAGTGTGACGTGCATTCTTTTCGGCTCATTACAAATTCTTAATAATTCTTAATTCTGGATTAATTGTAAAGGTTTGATAGAACTGGCTGGAAGACCTGCCAAGAGAGCATTGCAATAGTCCAGCCTGGGCAGAACAAGAGCTTGAACAAGGAGTTGTGAAGCATGTTCCGAAAGAAAGGGCCTGATCTTCTTGATGTTGAATAAAGTAAATCTGCAGGACTGGACAGTTTTAGCAATGTGGTCTGAGAAAGTCAGCTGATCATCAATCATAACTCCAAGGGTTCTGGCTGTTTTTGAAGGAGTTATGGTTGATGTGCACTTTAGCTGAAGTAATGTTTGGCATAATATATTAGTTGTTCAATCACCTCAGCAACGTTTCCTATACTCTTTTCATTTTATTTTGATGAAATAATATATTTTGTTTTATAAACATACTATGATTAAAATGTTAATTTAAAAAAAAATAGAGAAAACAATTATTTTAAAAAGTAAAGAATCTGAAAGCTTTAAAGGAGACTTAATAATATTTGATATCTTATTAATATCATACATTTTAACATTCCTATCATATTTTTAAATATTATTATAAAATATTTATTATAAATTTGGTGATTATTTCTAAAGTGGACACCCAACTTAATAAATCAAATTGACCATCTATATCTAACCATGTCAATAAATAGAAAAGTCAGCCAGCTATTTATTATCGTGTTAATTATTGTGCGTTTAGTCCCATCAGAAGAGGGCCACTTCTTACCCCTAATAATATACTTCTTCTTCTTTTTCTTATATACATATCTAATATACATATTCATATCTCACACACATTCTCATATACATATTCTTCCTTGAACAAAACTGAAAACGTTTAACAAGACTTTTGTCTCAAAATATACAGTCATTTTATAGAATCTCATTTGCTATGCAATATGTAATTCGCATCGTATAACATTTTGAAAAAATTAAAAATTAGTTTGAATTGGTGCAGAATCAACTTTTATTATATTACCAGAGAAGAAAATCAAATGTGCTTTTAGCCCCATAGTACCCTAATACATGAGATTTCATTTCAAATATAAACATTTGTTTTCTTCCCCTATATCAATGTCACACAAAATAACATATATATATATATAAATGTTTTGATATGCTTTGTATAATCATCTGTGTGTTTTTCAGGGAGGGCAAAGCATGTGTCATAAAGTGGTGTGTCCTGTTCTGTCCTGCCCATCTCATCTCACCCACACTGCACCTGGCCAGTGCTGTCCTAGATGTCGTGGTAAGTTATTTTTGGGGTAAAAGTTAGATTCTTAGTACAGACTTAAGACATTCACAATAACAAATATCATACACGCTGACTATATACTGTATTATAAAGCTTCCAGATCACTTGTAATATTTGGTTTCCATGTTGCCACTGCTTTCTTCAAATTCCACAAAATATTTGTAAAGAGATTTAAATCTGAAGCCTGAACCGGCCACTGAAGAACATTTTACGACTGATGCCTTAACCAAGCTTGAGTAGATTTAGATGTATACTTTGAGATGATAATCCTTACTTCTTACTTTGTATATTCGTTCAAAAAAAAAAAATCCATGATGTCAGTCAAGATTTCCTCTTTCTGCATCAGCAAAGCACCCCTAGAACAAGATTTGTTCACCCCTAGAAGTCTGACCAAAGGCCTAGCCTTTTTTGCACCAGACATACTGCTGAGCCATGAAGTTCTGATTCGGTCATATCACTCCATAAAATGTTATTCTAGAACTCTACAGGTCTATCCAAATTAATTTTAGCATATTCAAGTCAGCCTTTTATGTTGTTCTTGATCAAGAGTGGTGTCCCACTATGAAGGCCATGCTTGTTTAGTGTTCTTCTTGTACTCTGCATTGAAATGTTTTTTCCTCATTTCATCGTGTAATCTGTATCTACTGTTAGTGTTATCTGTATGCACCAAGGGTCTGAGAGTAACGCAATTTCAATTCTCTGTGTGTATGTGCTGTATATGTGGAAGAATTGACAATAAAGCAGACTTGACTTGACGTAATCTTGCATGTCTTTGGCAGTAAATTGAGGGGTTTTCTCAGTTGCTCTGATCAAACATTTTCCCCTTGATGATACTGTTTTTTCTTCATTGGCCTCAAAAGTTTTCTGGTACAACACATTTTAAACATATGTGACCCTGGAGCACAAAAGCAGTCTTAAGTCGCTGGGGTATATTTGTAGCAATAGCCACAAAAAAAAACCATTGTATGGGTCAAAATTATTGATTTTTCTTATATGCCAAAAATCATTAGGATATTAAGTAAAGATCATGTTCCATGAAGATATTTTGTAAATTTCCTACCGTAAATATATTAAAACTTAATTTTTGATTAGTAATATGCATTGCTAAGAACTTCATTTGGACAACTTTAAAAGCAATTTTCTCAATATTTTGAATTTGTTGCACCCTCAGATTCCAGATTTTCAAATAGATGTATCTCGGCCAAATATTGTCCTATCCTAACAAACCATACATTAATGGAAAAAAAATTGACCCTCATGACTGGTTATGTTGTCCTGGGTCACATATGAGTAATACTGCCAGCTGTGTCTCCAGGAACTTTTAGTGCCCTCACTTTAAAACTATTTATTACATAAAACTATTTCTTCTCTATAGCTTTTGTGAGAGCTCTTATGACTCTTTGGCCATGTTTGCTACTCAAATTTATGTATCTCTAACAGCTTAAGCTAATTAAGATTTGTTGCGGAGTTTCCAAGGACCCAAGTGTAATTAAATCACACCCTAATTTTGCACCCTACCATACAAATAAGTGACTTAAAAACAGCAGTGATTAATAGGGGTTGAATAATTATGACAGCTTTATTACAAAAAAAAAACTCAAAAACGTTATAATGTGTTGACATTATCACTTTTAATATTCCATCAAACTGTTATTGAAGTGATTTTTTTTCAATTCTGGATATTCAGAAAAGCTGATGTTTGTAAACAGGTATAGTCTCTATAGAATAATTTTGATTGCAGCTGAATCTAGTATGCTTTCATGAGAAATGTGAAATGACAGGGTCTTATTTGTCTTCTCTAGGTCAGAGGAGGGTCTTTGACTTGTCGCCTGGCAGCTGTCTGTTCCACAGTGAGGTCTATGAGAACGGTACATCCATTAGCCATGACAACTGCACCACCTGCACATGTGTGGACTCTACGGTGCTGTGCAGGAAGAGATGCTCACCGCCTGGCAGCTGTCATGGCAGTGCGTGCTGTGAAGAGTGCCAGTATCATCTGAAGATGGAAGATGTGAAGTATTGCAGAGTGAAGAGCAAAATCTATAGGGTGAGGCATCCAAGAGCAGGGACAATGTATGTAGACAACTAGCTGAAAATGTATGTGTATATATCAGATGAGAATGAGAGTAATAACTTTGTCTCTTCCTGGTTTAGGATGGTGACAGATGGTCGTCTGCTAACTGTTCTCTGTGCACCTGTGTTAAAGGGAATATTGAATGTCAGCCCAAGATTTGTGTTCCTATTACCAGCTGTCCCTCAGTAAGTTTTGTTTTACAAAGCTCATAAAGACACCTAACCATAGTTTTATGTGAAGTCGCCTGTATGTTTTAGTCATAATGTATTATATACATACTTTATAGAGTGTAGATGGTGTTTCCACCGTCAAAAGGTGAATGTGAAGTTTCAGAAAAAAGACTGGCAGTTTGAAATTCAGCTTGAGAGCGAGAGACTGGTGACGTTACATCACAAAATGTGAGGTCTTGACTAACTTTTACGTAAGAGAACGTTTACCTCACATTTTGTAAGTTGAACAAAAATGGCTTGGAAAAATGCGTGCGTGTGTGTGTGTGTGTTTGTGGTATGATTGCTTGTGTGCAGGTGTGTCTGTTTATGCCTGTATGGGTGTTCCTGATATAATGAGAACAAATACCAGAGTGAACAGCTGTCACATTTTATATGTACAAAGACTGAACAAAAATGGAGGAAATATTTACATGCTGGTCTGAGCATTCATGTCTGTACCAGGATGACATCCCTGGTCCACTACAATATTAATATAATTAATAATAAGCAGCAAAACGCTGTGCCTTCAAAGCTCAAGCTTCCCAGCTGGGCATTTTCATCTGGCCAAAAACTCTTTGGTGGACACAAGGCCTAAATATTTTGTTTCTAGTTACACCCAGCATACCTAACAAACCTGTTTGATTTTCTGTGTCTCCTACTGTATGTGAGTCTGTCACTATACAATGTTTTTAATTCGTTTTTCAGAACAAGATACTGAATCGAACGGGATGCTGTCCTGTTTGCACTGATAGTAAGTTTACTTCCACACATAATGTTCCAGCTGTGATTAGTTTTGTAGAAACTATTTTATAGCCTATTTTATAAAAATTGCAAGCTTTTCTGTTACATCAGTTACTACTACAGTCAGATCTTCACACACTCAACAATGTAACTTTTAAGTATAAATTATAAGTTCCACGTGTGCCCTCAGTTTGGATACACACATGCATTCTCTATTTGACATACAAAGTCATTATTTCGCTACAAATATCCTCTCTATTGTTCTTTTTGTAACTCTAGAGCCAGGTGTGTGTACCGTATTTGGAGACCCTCACTATAACACTTTTGATGGCCGCACCTTTAACTTCCAGGGCACGTGTAAATACGTGCTCACTAAGGACTGCTCCCCAGCGGCCAGTTTCACAGTGCTGGTGAAGAACGATGCCCGTCGCACACGCTCCTTCTCATGGACCAAATCAGTGGAGCTGCACACATCAGGCCTGAGCATCAGCCTCCACCAACACCTGACCGTCCGTCAAAACGGCACACGCATCGCTCTTCCCTTCCATAGCACAGGGGTCCACATTGACCTGGATGGATACCTGCTCAAACTCACCACCATCGCAGGTAAGGCCAGCACTTGCTATGGGATTTTCTGTCATAGGTTCTTTTACATAGCTTTTGGAGAATCAGAGGGGTTCGATTGTGGCTGCGTCTCTGCAAGCGGGTGTTAACATCTCCAGTGACTTCAATCTCAGTGAGTTCTTTGTCTCACTGGAGATATGCATGAGCAAATACTTTGACTGAAAGGATCAATAAAAATGACACAAATTGAAATAGTAGCAGTTGTTCAGCCTTTCACTCTTCTACAAATCTTCTTTTGAGAATGACAGACCTCTGACAGAAGAGAGAAAGATTTCAAAGTTAGCTTTGCAATCATTTATCAAAAAAGTGCAGTAAAAACAGTTATTTTGTGAAATATTATTACTTTTAATTTTCTTGAAATTTAATTGAGTTCTGGGATGGAGACGCTGAATTTTCAGCATCGTTACTCCAGTGTCTCGCACGATCCTTCAGAAACCATTCACTCTCAGAAAAAAAGGTACAAGGAAAACTTAAAATTGATCAAAAGGGGCAGTAAAAACATTTCAAATGTGACAATAGATTTTCATTTCAAATGAATGCTTTTGAGCTTTTTTATTCATCGAAGAATATATGGCATTCTGACCGAAACTGATTTGTGTCAGCTACTGGGATGCCGCCTTAGGGTTGTATTAACTGCATATTAACTAAAGATAACTCATCTGAAAACTTCTGAGTAAGAAAATGGTTTTTGCAGTGTAAGAATGAGCTAATGTAGTGCCTTGCACAATGTTGACCCTTGGACTGGCAATTGTGATTTGATTAACTCTCCCATGTGTGTATGACATTTATCTGTAAGCAACCTTTGTGCTTGCAGCTCAAATCAATCATTCCAACTTGCACAGATAGTATAGGAGGGTTACAGTTCGCCGCACCTTTCTTTTTCAAAAGAGCATGTTCGGCCTGTTTAAAACGATCATTTGACAATAACTTCCAAACTAGCTTCCAATTCAGCATGTTGGTTTAACTCAAGTCAAGTCACATTTATTTATATAGCGCTTTATACAATGCAGATTGTTTCGAAGCAGCTTGACATTAATAAACAGGAAAATAACAGTGTTCATGATGTAAACTACATCAATAATGAAACCCATTCAATTTTAGCTGTAAAGCACCTCCACAGAAGATAATAGAGATAAATTCAACTCAATTTAGTTCAGTGTTGCAATGTTGCAAAGTTGAACAGTTCTGGAAAGAGCTGTCAATATTCCGCTAAAGTCAGTTCAATAACTTGATTTTGCAAGGAAGATGTCATTATCCAGTTCTATTTTGTTCTCACCTGAACAAAAGTGCAGTAAGTGCAGATAAATTGATAATATTACTGAATATTAAGCACATTTTTGAATAGGTAATAGAAAAATAGATACAATACAATAGATAAATGGGTTGTTGTGAAGAACATGCCCATAGATTTTTCAGGATCCAAATTGTAGGTCAAAATTGATTTGACTGTTCAAGGAAAACGGTATGTTAGAGGTCTTGATTCTGGTCACCATTTATTTTCATACTTTATTTTAAACCTTTTTTGCCTTCACTGTAACAAGTGAGTTTTTAAAAGAAGAAAAACTCCATGCAGTTTGAAATGAATTTGATTGCTACATGATTCAAATGCTGTTTAAGATAGATTTAGATTGTGTCAGACTACAAGATATGTCATCTTCTCAAACACAGGCAAATGCAGCATGTTTCCTTTTCCTTAATCTTCATCTGGGCTGTGTCATCAGGACTGGAGATCACTTGGGACGGGGACAGTCTGGTGGAGGTGGTCGCAGCACCCCATCTGAAGGGGCAGCTCTGTGGGCTGTGTGGAAACTACAACAGTCAAAGGCGGGACGACTCTCTAGGAGGAGACGGCCAGATTAAGTTTGACGTGGATGAATTTGCTGAGTCTTGGCGTGTGGAGGACAATGAGGTGTGTCAGGCACCGAACCGCAGGCCCACATCCTTCCTCTGTCCTGGCACAGTCAAAGTAAAGCTGCGTGCACACAGAACGTGCCAAAAACTCAAGTCCTGGGAGTTTCAGAAGTGCCATTCTGCTGTAGACTTTACCTCTTTCTACAAGTGAGTTTCCCATTATGCAATCATCATTATCATATTAATAGATAAATCAAAGATCAGAGCTCAGATGAACATCAAACTTAATAAGAGATCATGGATTGTGCATGTGCCATTTTATTGTACTACTGTAGAATTAGCTTCAGGTCTTTTGTATTTTTATGCTGAATATTTAATACTAAAACGATAAACTAAATGTTTGTAGGGTAGAGAAGCATTAAACTGGTGCCAGTTCTTCAACATTCAACACTGGCACTAATTCTATCTCTGTCTCTCCCCATGTCTTCCTCTCTTTAGGTCATGTGTAACAGACATGTGTGAGTGTCCAGTGCACAAGAACTGTTACTGCGAGTCATTTATAGCATACAGTCGAGCGTGTGAGAGAGAGGGCATTCGTGTGCACTGGAGACCGGAGCTCACCTGCATGAGTAAGTCAGACCTGACAAATTTATGTGTGTTTGTATTTGTGTTAAAAATCTGTTACATTTTTAATGTTTCATCACACAGCAAAGAATCTGAGATCGGCTTGGTTTGAGAAAGGGGTTATTATTTATGGGGATTAAAAAAAAAACACTAGGGGGATTTTTATCATTATAGGGTGGTTGTGTACAAACTGCCAACACACATTTATGTTCAAGCAACATATAAAACTGAATTTTGCATCCAATGGCTCCTTTGAAAGTCAGCAGGAAGACTGGCAGACAGAAATCAGCTTGAAGAAAATCAACAGCAGTTCAGAGTATGAAAAGACAGTGCAGAAAAGCTGAGCGGATGTGGCGGAAGACGAAACTTGAAATACACTATAGCATATATAAAGACAGCCTTCGTACTTTCAATGGGGAACTAGGCAAAGCTAGACAGTCATTCTTCTCAAACCTTATAAACAGTAACAAACAACACTCGCACTCTTTTTGCTACTGTTGAGAGACTGACAAACCCCCCAAATCAGATTGCCAGTGAAATGCTCTCCGACAGCAAATGCAATGAGAAGAAGCCATCTTAAATTACATATGTGGCAAAAGCTGACATGAATATGTGATAGTGTCTTGTCTTCATACTTGACTAGTGTTCATTTCACTTTTTTGCTGTAGGCACACATTGCAAACATGGCGCAGTGTATGGCACATGTGGACCTGGCTGCACTAAAACCTGCAATAACTGGAACGAAATCAGACCTTGTCAAAGGCCCTGTGTCGCTGGCTGCCACTGTCCGGCCAGCCTGGTCCTGTTTGAGGGCCACTGCATTAAACCTACATCCTGCCCCGGGCGATGACCCACAGGACTCGTATAGAAGCAGAGGGCTGCGAGAGATCCAAACACACAGAGGGAAAGAGAACTGGGCACGCAATTTTGCAAACAGGACTGTACAATTCTCAAGATACTGAGAGACACACACTGCTTCCCTCAGCAGGGAGACTCACCACTAGGTCCCTTTGGCTTCTCTGTGGGGACTCAGGATCTCACTGCTCGCTGTATGTGGATTTCTCATAGGTGGTGAAAACCAAATCCTAAGTGCCTTACTGAATGAGCTCAGTTACCAATGCTTTAATCATAAAAAAGGACCTGAACTGGACATTATGTGTGGGGTATATGGCATACAATAGTATTATCCATTTATTGGGTCAGCCAGTATTTAATTCACAACTGCTTGTGTAATGTATTTGTTCTTTATTTTGTAAGTCGGGGACTCAAATGTGACTGTTATAGCATTAAAGAGACGTGTACTGTATTCGTCCAGCCAAGTGTTCATACACTGATGTGTGTATGTGTTATTATAAATGTACATTTTACTTGACCCATTAAGATACTATATACGACCAGTATAAAGCTTATATACTTTTAAAGAAAAACGTGCTTATTTCTGAAAAAAGTTTTGTCATCAGGAAGTGCAGTGATGTTTGTGCATACAACTCAGGTTCAGCAATGTCTTGTGGTGATTCAGGAATGGGATATAAAATGGCGGCAAGAATTTGGCTGGTTACATAATCTACTTGTAGGGACTGTAAACTGATAAAACTTTTACATTACTAACCTGAGTGTTAAGTGTGTCCTGTAGTTCAGTTGTGAACTCGTGATCATACAAGTGTTATTGTTTGAGCTACATTAAATCTGACTAAACACACACACGGGCACAGCCCTAAAAGAAAACAACATTCTTTCCAAAACTCTGAAAGACATCTGAGAGAAAGAGAGTTATCAATCAACGTAATGGAGTAGTTGACTCATGAACATTTTTTTCTACAAAGATTTTGTTAAATTTTATGTTTGCGTAGTTTTGGTTGTAGATTCTGTACCACAAGTTTATACCTTTTTCCAACAACTTTTGCCTTGACTATAGCAACTGAAAAATTATGAATATATTGTGTCCTCCACTTATATTGGCATCCTTGATAAATATGAACAAAACAGGCTGTGAATTCTTTCTTTCATTTAAAACGGTCAAAAATGAAATATCAACTTTAAGTAAAATGACATGAAACAGTAAATGTGGAACATCCTTGTCCATCCATTCTTGAAACCACTTTGTCCTACGTAGGGTGAATAAATGAAATGTTCACGTCCAAAATATTTACTTACAAATTCTCAAGATTTAACATCTTACTGAATCTACCTAGGGGGGGGAAATTCATTCACGTCATTCTAAACCTTTATGATTTTCTACTGTTTACAGGTGCTAGTTGGGTCTTGGGATCAGAAAGTTTCCAAAACTATGATCAGACCTCATCTGTAAGCACAACTTGTTTGAGAAAATGGCCAGAAATAGCCTTTGGTGTCATCAAACAAACGTAAGTACAATTTGCCAGGTGTTAATGTTACTGGGTTCAGTAGGACTGGGTTTTATGGCCAGATGAGACCAAAATAAATATATATTTTTATGGAAACAACCCAATAGAGGTGGGTTTTTGGCATAAACAGAAAGAAGTCCCTCATCTCTACTAAGTATTCTCTATGACCTTTAATGCTTGTGCTGCTAATTTTCTACTAATTGTTAGGATACATGGTATCATAAATTCCAACAAACGCCAGCAGATATTAAATCAACATCTGACTGATCTGTCAATAAGCTTAAAATGTGCTGTGGTTAGACCTTCCAGCAGGATAGGCTGTCTATGCATACTGAGCTCTTTCTTCTGTCATTATACGAATGCAATCAGTAATTTTCACTCATTGAAGATCCCATTAAAGGTACAATATGTAAGATTGTGTTTTTTTTTTTTTAAATATCCAAAAACCACTAGAACAGTTTTATATATTTTGCCGACTGTGTACTTACATTATCCCAAATGTTTCAAAGAATGTTTAAATCCAGAGAAATAAGCAATTTTAACTAGTGACACAGACCGTGTCCATAGTGTCATTGTGTCGCCTGCCAATGACCTCATACACCCTCAATTTCCGGTTTTGTTTTGTAGAAAACATGGAAACACCAAAGACGCTTTAATATGTTGTGCGTTTTAATAGACCGGTGGCGACCACACAGAGTAGCATTATAACAGAGCTTTCAAATGTATCTAGTATAATAAAATAGCGCTGCTTTACCCCCACATACGCACGACCGGAAGGAGCGGAAGCGCTCGACTGTGGCATAATAAAAGCTCAGCTGCTTTCGAGCCGTGTGTCACGCTCGTTCAGTGGCCTCGTTTCGCTTCGACGGCTTTCAGCTTCACCCTGCTTCATTCTACTACGTTAATAAATCATTAGCTCAACTATGAACATGATTTCTGCCCAAGTCCCGTTGGATTGCGTCGGCCGTGGGGATGAAGACGACAACTCCCATGATTCCACACATTCCGTCACGGCGTCTTCAAACTACGCCTTTGTTTCTTTGTTTGTTTTGGATACGCGCCCTCTAGTGGCAAAAAATTACACATTGTGCCTTTAAATCAATTGAAAAGAACAATTTAGTTTACTGTGTTTAAGTATTTCCTTTTGAAACAGGATGTTTCTGATCATACTGCAGGAATATTCTAGTGACAATAAATTATAACTATCCATATTCATTATTTTGGCAGAAAGGAAAGTGGGAATGAATATACTCATCTTAAAGTAAAAAAAAAACAAAAAAAAAACACATTACAACTACAAATGGCTTCCAATTGTTTTAATTTTTTTCAGTGTCCAAAGAAGTTTTAAAGTCTAGCGTGACTGCAGCTCTACCCATGTTTCCTTAAAGACTTACAGATAAATGGCCATTACTTTTACAGCTTTATCAACGTATAAACATAAAAATTGAAGTCATCAAAAATCACTGATGACGGTTTAGGCATTAGAACTGACATGCTCACATGCTGCTGCATTACTGACGGTTCCATCTCCCTGTAAAAGACTGTTTGCAAACCCTGCGTTTATTTGTGACTGGTTTACAAATGAATTCACAGTGGAATGTACCAAACATCAAATGATGTTCCACTCAGACAATCACATAATTGAAACTAAGCAGCTTTTCCTAACATTACAATCTATCAGCAGATAATGCTATTTTTTAGTCACGTGATACTGGTTTCGGATTTCTCCTTTCTATCCTTATCACCTCACTAATGTACCAATGGGTCAGGCCAAAAAGCTGATGAAGTAGCAGGTGTTGAGAGTGTCTGTGCAACAGTCTTGCGCTGATCTATTCATCTGTATGACATTACACAGACAAGGATGTTTAAAAAAAATGTGTCTTCATTTCAATAAAAACTTTTTGGACTTACAAGGAAGTTTGAGTTGAGTTAAGCTGACACTAACAGCATGCTTTGATAGTAAATAAGCTCTTATGTGTCAAAAGGAAAATTATGGAAAATGTCATTAATAAATCTGAAAGTGTTTAAATTATGGCATATATACATATTTTATGTGTATAATATTGTATGGTTTCTATATTTTTATATGATATGTTTCTAATACAAAAATCCTACCAACACCTCAAGGGGGAGGAAAAAATGGCCGCTTTAAACTGTCCCGATACATTCAAACTGTAGACAACGCTATATGCAGTTACATGTATTGTAACTTTTATATTTCAAATCTTTGTACAGTCTACATACAGTCTCTGTATGCTCTTCTTCCCCCAGAATAATCGCCATAGCTTCTCTCAATTGTCAACTAATCATTTACATTCCCAAAATCAACAATTCAATAATTGGACTTTGGATTTCTTTTTATTTTCTTCATTTTACATTCATGCAGTCTTTGTTCACCGATATCAGTAGAATCACAGATTTGAAGTGTCAGTTCATTATCCCAACCAGTCGCTGGGCACCCATTTTTGGAAGAACTGTTGGCTAGATAGATCCTCAAGTTGCGCCGATTCATTTTCTTCCTCTGCTTCAAGCAGGTTTTTTAAAGAGCTGCTTCTTCGTTTGATAGAGACACCACTTTGCAATACTCTTGTGCAGGCATGATTTTCCACGTTTGCCACAAGGGCAGTTCCAAGTGTTTGTCTTGGCATTGTAATCCACCAAGACTCTGCCCAGTTTACTGTAATGTGACACCTTTGGCTTATATATTGATATATAATACATGTAGTCAGGGCCTCCAATGGTAACAAGGCTAGTAAAAGTGGCACCTTTAAGCTTAGCTTGCTTTTGCATCTTAAGGCATCGTTTTTTCCGTATATCTCCAATCCATTTCCGCTCCACCATCTCAGTCAACACATGCTCTGATAAATCCTCACTCGGTGCAACAGCACAGGTGTAGTCTACTGAGCTTAGATGCACACACTGCGCAACCAAAAGTCCTCTCCTTTGTGCCACTTCAACACGATTGTTGCAATTATCCATTTCACACTTAACCTTGTGGGATGAACCCCAACATTTTTTGACCACATGGATGGGGGTACAAGGCTCACAAAATGATTCTGACACAACGTATAATCCATTCTTTTTATCGACACACTGTGCTGGTAGAACTGAAGTTAAGGTATGCAAGGCTTCATGATGCTTCCGCTCAATGTGTTTCTTTAAATTTTTTGAATTAAGACTGAGCCCGCAGTGAGGACACTGCGCTGAGATTTGCTTTCTTTTAGCCATCACTGGACGAGCTGGTAATTCCAGTGGACCAGGTGCTGGTGGCTGTAAAGAAGGTGCTTCTGGAGCTATTGGATGAGCCCTGCAAAGATGCCTTTTTAGCTCACTTTTCTTGAAGTAAGTCTTGGGACACTTGCAGCAGTGAAAATGTCTGGCCTTTTTACCACAGCCAATGTTACAGCTGTATATAACAAAATCTAAAAGTAAATAAATATGTTAGTAGACATTTCCCTGCATAATGACTTTAAAGGGGTCATATGATGTTGCTAAAAAGAACATTATTTTGTGTATTTGGTGTAATGAAATGTGTTTATGCGGTTCAAGGTTCAAAAAACACATTATTTTCCACATACTGTACATTATTATTTCTCCTCTATGCCCCGCCTTTTTGAAACGTGTCGATTTTTACAAAGCTCATCGATCTGAAAAGAGAAATGTGCTCTGATTGGCCAGTGATCTAGTGCGTTGTGATTGGCCGAATACCTCAAGCGTGTGACGGAAATGTTACGCCCCTTACCATACTGTGATGCCGTGTCCCGGAGCGACGAGACAAAAACATTAAAAAACCCATTATAAACGAGGCATTTGTTGCATCCAGTGGGGACATAATTACTGATTATAATGACTTATACTGTCTTTTTACGCGTTGCATCGTGCCGCGTAAACATAAAACCATTACTGCATTTGTGATCGGAGAAATTACAAACAACAAGCCTACTCTACACTGCTCAAAACTCACGTTTGAATCATCAGTGGAAAATTCTTTAAATATGAAAATGTATTTACAGTCTGTGAGTCAGACCAGCCGGCATTGTAGTCTACTCTCCCAGGATCAGGAAACAGTCCTCCATAAAGTAGTTTCGCTTTCGCAACGAAACACACAGCGTCCCCACGACATGGTGGTGGCAGCAACAGTAAAGTTACGCCTTCTTTCTTTGCGTGAACCTTTAGGCGGCGTTATGCAAATCTTTCTACAGTGACGTAGACATGTGGGGGCGTGTTTAAACGAAGCGTTTTAGGGGGGCGTGGACCAGTCTTAACTTTAATAAAGAATATCTCTTTGGGTTTGAGACTTTAGTCTTTGCAACTTCAGGGATCTTATCTATTCACGAACAGCTTGTAACACTCCAAAGAGAAAGGAAAACTTGAAATCGCATCATATGACCCCTTTAAACTGAAAAAAAAATATTGCTTTCTAATAAACTTCTTTTTTTAACATTAGTCAATGTACATTAACATAAATTAACAATGAACATTATTTTTCTTTTACAGATTGAATTAATTAATGTTACTGCTCATTGATACTTAGCTCATAATGGATTACCCAGTGTAAATATATAGTATACAATTTTTTTTTATTTTAAACTAAACATTTTAACCAATGAATACTGTAAAAGTATTTGTTCATTGTCAGTTTATAACATGTTAACTATTACCACATTATTATAAAGTATTACCAAACTAATTTTAAGCTCACATACTCACCTCCATATTCAACCGCTCTCAGTTTATGTCCAGCTAAATGGGTCATTATTTGATGGTACTGTCTTGGCTTACACACGTCAGTTGCACAGAAGGGGCATGTGAATAAAGTAGCATCTGCATGGCAGCGTCGCGGTCGAGGCTCCTGTCCTTTCTGCTTAACTGTGATGTGCTGAATAGACAAGAAATATGTCAGTTACACTCAAGAGTCTATCAATTTTAGTCTAAATTATATTTCCTCAATGTATATTACCATTGCTTCATATTTATACTAGACTGATTAATTGAACTAATTATTATTATTAGTTATGACGACAAATGCACTTTGAGAGATGCACTAAATAGCAAGCTAATGTAAACCAATAATACTTAATGCTAGGCAGTCATTCAGCTCAATGTATTTCAATTTTTAGAATTCAGACTCACCCTACGTGGATCCTGAACAGAGATTTGCTTTTTCTCAATCGCTGGAGAAGCTGCTAATTCTTGTCGATCAGGTGCTGCTTGCTGCAAATCAAGTTCTTGTGGTTGAGATGCTGGTCGCAGCTGTGAAGGAAGTTCAGGTGGTGGATGAGATGCTGATTGTTGGTGTGAAGGAGGTTCTGGTGATGGATGAGATGCTGGTTGTTGGTGTGAAGGAGGTTCTGGTGGTGGATGAGATGCTGGTTGTTGGTGTGAAGGAGGTTCTGGTGGTGGATGAGATGCTGGTTGTTGGTGTGAAGGAGGTTCTGGTGGTGGATGAGATGCTGGTTGTTGGTGTGAAGGAGGTTCTGGTGGTGGATGAGATGCTGGTTGTTGGTGTGAAGGAAGTTCTGGTGGTGGATGAAATGCTGGTTGTTGGTGTGAGGGAGGTTCTTGTAGTGGGTGACTTACAGGTTGTGGTTCTGGATTGCAAGTAGCTATTGGATGAGCGCTGCAAAGATGCTTTTTTATGGCACCTTTATTCATGTAAATCTTGGGACACTGGCAGCAGTGAAAATGTCTGGCCTTTTTTTCACAGCCAATGTTGCAGCTGTATATAACATGATCTAAAGAGATTTGAGCACATTTGTATAACCACACCATCGACGAAGAATAATTAATTCATAACACTTGTAATCTATGTTTGTTCTCTTCCCACATTATTACAAAGTGTTACCAAAGAAACTGTTTGCTCATAAACTCACCTCCATATTCAACTGCTCTCAGTTTATGTCCAGCTAAATGGGTCATTATTTGATGGTACTGTCTTGGCTTGCACACGTCAGTTGCACAGAAGGGGCATGTGAATAAAGTAGTGTCTGCATGGCAGCGTCGCGGTCGAGGCTCCTGTCCTTTCTGCTTAATTGTGATGTGCTGAATAGACAATAAAAATATCAGTTACCCTCAGGAGAAAATGTCTATAAATTTAAATCTAAAATATGTTTATGTATATAAACCACTGCTTCCCATTTTTGACTAGAAAACAATAATCAATTAAGATAACATGTTATGTTACATAGTGCTTAGAAATCTAGTCTAGAAAGCTAACTCATTATTTTTAAATTCACTTAGAATATACCTAACATACAAGTTACCATTCTCATCACTGGGTTTCATAGCTAAAGTGACAAATAGCTAGAAGATCCACTAAACAGCTAGCTAACATTGACTAATAATACTTGTTAGTAGTACTTTTTATAATTAGCTGGGTATCTAGCCAGCAAATTCACACAGTTTGGTCAAAACAATAAACAATCCCTTTACGCTTATCTGCAGGCGCTTGGCCTCAGTGTTCCTTCACTTTTTCAAATCACTTTATCTGTCTGACGCATAATGACAGTTGAAAAGAAAGAGAAAGGTGTCAGGAACAGTCCACTTGATTTAAACGAATCAGTTAAAACACCCACAGAATGATTTTACTACGATATAGAGTACTCCGCAAAAGTTACATAAGAAATGTATTTTTATATTTTGCTTTAGTGTGACAGTAGGAAATATCACTGTGTATTTCTAAACATTCATATAGCCATTAACTGTAATAAACCAGTTTATTTATTGAACCAGTAATAAACCAGTTTATTTTTGAAAACATCCTTAGTTGTTCGCCTAATGGTTAGAGAGTCGGACTCGTAACCCAAAGGTTGCGGGTTCGAGTCTTGTACCTGCAGGGATTGTATGTGGGGGGAGTGAATGTACAGTGCTCTCTTCCACCTTCAATACCACGACTGAGGTGCCCTTGAGCAAAGCACCGAACCCCAACTGCTCCCCGGGCACCCCAGCAAAAATGGCTGCCCAATGCTCCGGGTGTGTGTTCACTGCTGTGTGTGTGCACTTTGGATGGGTTAAATGCAGAGCACTAATTCCGAGTATGGGTCACCATACTTGGCCACATGTCACATCACTTACTTGACAGCATTTTTGCACGTGATTACAATTTTTCACAGTACTGTAGCTTCACAGATATAATTCCCCAATCATCTTGGATGTGTTCCCACAGTTCTTATGGATTTAGTCATCTCCTTTTGGCTCTAGATGCAATAACAGACAGGCTAAATGATGGTGAGATCATATCTCTGTGTATGTTGTTGGACTGTGCATACAAAAATTTCACTGATTACAAATAATGGCAAAAGGAATGTTTGGAAGCGTGAACTGACATCTCCTATTAGCACACTTAAACCAAAAGATATTAAATAATTTTTGGGTGAAAATTCTAACATACATTTGCTCAGTACTGTACCTCCTATTCTTTTTATCATCACACTGTGCTTCATGATTTATCCACTCAATGTATTTCTAATTTTGGGGAATTTGCACTCACCCTACTAGGACACTGCACAGAGATCTGCTTTCTCCCAATCGCTGAAGGTGCTGCTTGCTGCAAATCAAGTTCTTGTGGATGAGATGCTGGTTGTTGGTGTGAAGGAAGTTCTGGTGGTGGATGAGATGCTGGTTGTTGGTGTGAAGGAGGTTCTGGTGGTGGATGAGATGCTGGTTGTTGGTGTGAAGGAGGTTCTTGTAGTGGGTGACTTACAGGTTGTGGTTCTGGATTGCAAGTAGCTATTGGATGAGCGCTGCAAAGATGCTTTTTTATGGCAGCTTTATTCATGTAAATCTTGGGACACTGGCAGCAGTGAAAATGTCTGGCCCTTTTGCCACAGCCAATGTTACAGCTGTATATAACATGATCTAAAACAAAGGTTTGAGCACATTTGTATTAGCAAAATATTGACCAAGCATAGTGGATGATGTAAAAAAAAATATACAGTGGTGTGAAAAAGTGTTGGCCCCCTTCTTGATTTCTTATTTTTTTCCATGTTTATCACACTTTAATGTTTCAGATCATCAAACAAATTTAAATATTACACAAAGATAATGCAAGTAAATACAAAATGCAGTTTTTAAATGATGATTTCATTTATTAAGGGAAAAAAGCTGTCCAAACCTACGTGGCCCTACGTGAAAAATTAATTGCCCCCTCCTGTTAAATCATGAAAGAACTGCAATTAACCACATTATTTTAAGAAAGCTGAGTTAAATTTCACTAGCCACACCCAGGCCTGATTACTGCCAGACCTGTTGAATCAAGAAATAATTTAAATAGAACCTGTCTGACAAAGTGACACATGCTTAAAGAGCAACACATCATGCCGCGATCTAAAAAAATTCAAGAACAGATGAGAATCAAAACAGTTGACATGTATCAGTCTGGAAAGGATCATAAAGCCATTTCTAAGGCTTTGGGACTCCAGCGAACCATGGTCAGAGCCATTATCCACAAATTGAGAAAACTTGTAACAATGGTGAACCTTCCAAAGAGTTGCCGGCCAACCAAAATTACTCCAAGAGCACAACAATGACTCATCCAAGAGGTCATAAAAGAACCCAGAACAACATCTAAAGAACTGCAGAATTATTTTCACACTTAGTTCCTAACATGTCAGTTAAATATTACAACATTATTATAAACAAACTATGCTCAGACACACACTTCCACACGCAACCAAAAACGAAAAAAAATAACGTTTTTATTGTTAGTTTATATGACATATGTTAACTACCAAAGAAACAGTTTGCTCACATACTCACCTCCATATTCAACTGCTCTCAGTTTATGTCCAGCTAAATGGGTCATTATTTGATGGTACTGTCTTGGCTTACACACGTCAGTTGCACAGAAGGGGCATGTGAATAAAGTAGCGTCTGCATGGCAGCGTCGTGGTCGAGGCTCCTGTCCTTTCTGCTTAATTGTGATGTGCTGAATAGACAAGAATATTCAGTTAGGGAAGTGTCAGTTAGGGGAAATAACTATAATCCAAGATGCATTCTCGTCACTATAATACAATTGTTTCCCATTTTACTAAAAAAATGTACTTAAGCTACATTATATATGTGCATATAAATCCATGCATGGGTCAAAGACAAGACGTCCCATTTTGGTGGCCAAATTCAATTTACAAAAGTGATTATATATATATATATACACACACACACACACACACAGACAGACAGCATATTAAATGCAACTAAAGTGTCTACTTTAATGTTTCAAATAACTTTTGTGGAAATAACATGTTAAAATATGGGTGAGATAATGTTCCATCATTATTCAGCATGACAGATACATTTATGCAAAAATGAAACAACATATTCTGACCTGTACTTATATAAATGAAGTGATCATACTACATTTGTTATATTTATTTATATATTTATGTATATGTATATATATATATGATTAAAACGTATTGCTGACAAATGGGTAAAGTCTAATGGTTTGAAGGATAGTGGCCAAGATTGGTAAGGGGTCATATGATGCGATTTCAAGTTTTCCTTTCTCTTTGGATTAAAACGTATTGCTGACAAATGGGTAAAGTCTAATGGTTTGAAGGATAGTGGCCAAGATTGGTAAGGGGTCATATGATGCGATTTCAATTTTTCCTTTCTCTTTGGAGTGTTACAAGCTCTTGGTGCATAAAGAAGATCTGTAAAGTTGCAAAGACTAAAGTCTCAAATCCAAAGAGATATTCTTTATAAAAGTTAAGAGTCAGCCACACCTACCTAAAACGGCTCGTTCTAACATGCCCCCACATGTCTACATCACTATGTGAGAAGATTTGCATAACGCTGCCCAAATGTTCACACAAAGAAAGAAGGTGTAACTTTTATTCTCGCTGTAGTATTGTTTCTGCCGCCGCCACGTCGTGGAGACGCTGTGTGTTTCGTAATGAAAGCGAAGCTACTTTGTTTGGCCTTCCAAAAGAGGCCACGACTAGAAATCAGTGGTTAAGTTGCATTTACAACACTGTTCCAGAACAGTTCAACCCAAATATTCAGATGTGTGCTGCGCATTTTATGGAGGACGAGGACTGTTTCCTGAGAGAGTAGCCTACAATACGGTGTCTGTTTCTATAAAGTGGGGCAATTCCAACTTTGAAAGGACAGTCTGGCGCTTCTGACTCACAGCCTGTAAGTACGTTTTTATATTTAAAGGATTTGCCACTGATGATTCAAACGAGTTTTGAGCAGTGTAGAGTAGCGCTTGTTGTTTGTCGTTTCTCCGATCACAAATGCAGACATGGTTTTATGTTTACACGGCGTGATACGCAACGCAACGTGTAAAAAGACAGTACAAGTCATTATAATCAGTAATTATGTCCCCATTGGATGCAACAAATGCCTCATTTATAATTGGTTTTACTGGTTTTGTCTCGTCCTGCTGGGAGACGGCATCACAGTATGGTAAGGGGCGTAACATTTCCGTCACACCCTTGAGGTATTCAGCCAATCACAACGCACTGGATAGCTGGCCAATCAGAGCACACCTCGCTTTTCAGATCGATGAGCTTTGTAAAAATCGACGCGTTTCAGAAAGACGGGGCATAGAGGAGCAACAATAATGTACATCATGTGGAAAATAATGTTGTTGTTGTTTTTTTACCTTAAACACATTGCATTACACCAAATAATGTTCTTTTTAGCAACGTCATATGACCCCTTTAAAATTACAATGAATTAGTATTTTGGGATTGCACTGTGATCCTTCAAGTCTAACGATTCTTGCTCTAAATATGCCTGATTTTGTCTGTTTGCATACAAACTGTTACACTGAATCCGATTATTTTCTGTAAATAATCGTGTTTTAAAAAATGAACGAATGAATGAGAGATAGATAGATAGATTCTAATGGAAAAACTGTATTAAGCTTTTATTGTTTTGATAACTGAAACCCCCTTTTCTTCTTTGACCCGCATAAAAATCGAACCTAGCAAGCTAACTAGCTTGGGACTCATAAGCTATAGTTTTAAACAGAATTGGAATGTGCCACCCAGAAAGGTATTAGCAAGCTGGCGTTGTCACCACTGGTTTTACGGCTAAAGGGACCAAATGTGTGTGCACTAAATAGCTAGTTAACGCAAACTATATTTCACGCGAAATCGTGCAGCTAAACAGATATTTAGTAAGCAACCAGGCAGCTAACAAAGTAACACCAATCAGCCAAAACGTAAAAACAGTCTCCTCACAATCATCGGCATGCTATCTGTGTCCTTGTGTCTCCTCTTTCTGATTTTCTGAACGAATTGGTGGTTTAAAAGAACTCTTTTAGGTGAATAAAACCCTCTCGTTCACTTTATACATTTAATGGTTCACTGAAAGTCTTTCTGAAGCCAGTAGCCGCGCTCCATTTCAACTTTTTATGCCCTTCCTTCCCTAGTTTCCCTTCTTGTACGTCACTGATTATGCGCGAGTTCCCACTACCGGCAGCGAGGGTTGCCAGATCTGAGTATCAAAACTAACCCTACCCTAAATATCAATACATACAAAATACATATTTTACAGTCACTATTATGCATGCTATTTTAACTCGACAATCACTGTGTAGATTAGTATCAATCATAAAAACATAAAGGAGCTTGCAGCCAGAGCTACCAGTGCTGCTGCCTCCTAAAAATCTCCTTTGTCTCATCATCTTGCACAGTTTTATCATG